CCTCCTGCCTCTCATGCTCTCTGTCTCTCATTCTCTCTCTCTCAAATAAATAAATAAAATCTTTAAAAAAAAAAAAAAAAGGCCACCTGAGGTCATTCTCAAAATATATACACAGAGCTAACACCATTTTTCAAAGGCAATTTTTGCCCACTCTTTCAAACATTAGATTCAAAATTACTAGGATGGAAAAAGATTCTGGCAGCCAGACTGCAGTTCTCTGAAATGTGCTTCAGATCCATGACCTGGGGTAGAAGAGGACCTCCTGTGCCCACAGTAGCCCATCAGAGAGAGGGAGCTGCGGCCAGCCCGCCTCGGGCTCACAGGAGTCCGGGCCTCCCCGAGCCTCAGTCCCCCTTCGGTACAACTGAGAGGCCCGTGGGAGCCGAGGGACAGGAACGAGCGCGCACACCCGGAGGCCAGCCAGGCTTGTTGGGGGTGACTTTCCCTTCCCACCCCCCACCCCCCATTAGTCTACAGAAATGACCCTTTATCATGAACACACTAGACATTTACTGAGCACCCACCTGTTTCTAGGCTCCTATCTGACTTACGTTGGGAAAGCTCGTCCCAGCTGCTGAGCCGAAGGCAGACAGACTGTCACAGGAAAAAGCAGAAGCAGAGAGACTAGGGGCTGTTTCGGATGATCAGTGGGAAGTGAAGGTGGTGAGCAGGGCTTCCGATCCTGCTTCGGCAGCACGTAGGAACGCAGGAGTGAGGGAGGACAATATGCTAGTGACTCCAGTGGCCAGAACCCGTCTCCCGAGCCTGTTCAGCTCCCCCAGGTTCTTCCACAGTGATACGATTGCATTTTTCTAAGACAAACCTCCATTAGATTTAAAAAAAAAAAAAAAAAATTGAAAACTTTTCTAAACATTGCTGTTTACGTGATTCTTTTTTTTCTGGCCTACATTCTCTTATGTAATTGCCTACGGTCTCAGAATCACTTTCCAGCTCATGATGCCAGTTTTTCCAAGCCCCCTGTAAACTAGGCAAAGCTGGTATTTTCTGCATCTTACCAAGAGGTAAGCTGAGAGCCAAGGGAGACTGAGTGCTCGGTGGCACCTACTGCAGGGCTAGGAGCACAGTGGAGTCTGAAACCCAGGTCATGGACTTGGAGAGGAAGTAAGATGCACTCCAGGGGACTGCGGTGATGGTCAGGGTCAGTGCTGAGTGAGAGAGAATGACCTCCCAAAGCTGTCAGTCCAAGCCCTGTTTCAGGCAGGCCCATGGTCCCGTGGAGAGGACGAGGCCTGGGCTCAGAGAGCCCCGAGCCCCGGCTCAAGCACTGCACGCCGTCGGGCCTCTGCGTCCCCAGCTGTGAGCCCAGGACTCAGGTCTGTCTACTTCAGGGAGTTACGAATCTAAGTCTCTTTGGTGTGAAAATTGATTTCGGTTTGCCTAAGTAACATTTATCTAATTTCATCTTTAATCACCTCTGTCATGGGTAGTCTTCAGTTCCATATAACGGTCTCTTGGTCTAGAAGCCGAAGGCATACATCCCTCAGTGTATTGATCTAATAAACTGCGATCAGGGTTTAGAAAGGCGCAGAGGTTTTAAAACTAGTCTCAACTTTGGAAACCCACACCGTATTTACCTATCATTTCAAAACACCTGTGGGATGGCCTCGTTCATTACCTGTCAGTAGGTAGAAAGAGGATTTCAGTGCTGCTTTGAATGACGCTACTCCACATAACGTGACTGTAAGGCCCTTCAGTGGTATTTTCCTCAAGAGACTCCTTAGATATTGATCAGTGGAATAAAGTCATTGAGCAGCTAGGAACGCCGTCTGCGGATTTTATGAAGAAACTTCAGCCGACTGTGAGGAATTATGTAGAAAACAGACCGAAGTACCCTGGCATCAAGTTTGAAGAGCTCTTCCCAGATTGGATATTCCCATCAGAATCCGAACGAGACAAAATTAAAAGTAAGATGCCCTTTGTTTCCCTCATCCCTGTTTCTGCAGTCTAGGCACCGCTCTCAGCCTCTTCAGGTTCACGTTCTGACTCCCCTGGACGTGGGGAGATAAAATAGGGGAAACCCTCAAATAGAGTGAGGTACAGGCCAGCCTGAAGGCTTAGCGACCTGAAAGTTCTGTCCTCGACAGAAGGGCCGCATTGAAGCCTTTGGTCAAAATGAAGAGGTTTGTGTCAGTCTCAAAGACTCCTATGTTAATTATAGCTAATTGGAATTCACACAGTTTTCAGGTACACGGAACACTTGAATTAAGATTCTAGCCCATAGTTCGATTACAAAAAGCTCCTCCTCCCCTTCTCTGGTGCCCGTCACTAGAACTGTGATTTAAGGAAAAGAATAGATTTCTCCCCACATCACGGTAAACTGTGCCTCCATCAGAAGAGCCCCATCTCTCCTTTGCCTACCCATGTGAACCTTAATTGCCGGAACACTGAGCTTGTTGGGTTTTTTCCTAACAAGTAATCTCTAGATTTTTTTTAAGTTTATATTGCCAACACTACATGCAGGTAGGCATGTAGCAGAGGCATCTGTGAAGTGTTCGTGAGATTACTGTATGGCTGAAGAGGTCCGTTCTAATTTTGTTTGGATGGGACATCAAGAGAAGAGCCTGCCCGTGCTCTGTGCCTGCATTTCGGGCAGTGGTGGCCCTTAGCTCAGTTCCTGTGCCCTCCCTGGTGGCGGCTCTCCCTGGGCACCGTGTCAGCCTCCCTTTGGCCTGCATCCACCTGCTACCCTTCCCCAGGCCCTGTCCCTCCACCTCCCCTCCCAGAGCCAGAGGCAAGACACCGAGGTCGAAAACCTGATTGGTAGTGAAAGTGGCTTATTCTTAAAGAAAAAAGCCTCGATTGATCTGGAGCCTGTCAAATATTTCTCAGAGTTAAAACATCTGTGTTCTATCTGCACTGTCACATTATCTGTGTGATGTTCTATGTCTCAGCATTAATTTATTCATCTAATATTTGTTTCCACCCTAGCAAGTCAAGCCAGAGATTTGTTATCGAAAATGTTAGTGATAGATCCCGACAAGCGAATCTCTGTCGACGAAGCTTTACGTCACCCTTACATTACCGTTTGGTATGACCCTGCTGAAGCCGAGGCGGTAAGCATCTGTTTTGGAAGGACTTGTGCCTAAGGGCAGGGCGTACATTTCCTTAGATCTTCCGTCCGTCCTGGGGCTGTCGCTCAGTGTACCTCGGGACTGTGCCCTGTGTTTTGCTTATAACACCCTATTTAGGCCACCCCATCAGAGAGGCTAAGAAACTTGCTGAAAATCCCAAGTTTATCTGTCCTTTCCCAGAGGCACCTGGGGCGTTCCCAAGGGGGTTCCACTTCTGAGTACGGCGCTCAGGTGCATTTTCCCTTAGCAACACTGGCATGGATGATCTCTGGCTATAAGACATAACCTCGTGGGGGCAGGTTCATTTTCGGACTGGCCTGTGGATTTAACCACCACAGTGAACACTGTTTCATATGAAAGGAGTCCCATTTATCAACATGTGATTTTGAAGCAGATTTTTGGAACGGTCCAGTGTGAGTTGGGGATTGGGTATGGGGGCTTCAACATGAAGAACTGCAAACCTGAGCCAGCACGGTCCTTGTCCAGGGCGGGTCTCTAGGAAGGGGCTTGTGATTACTACTTTACAGTTCCATCTGGGCAGATGCCCTGAGACTGTATGGAGATTATGTAATTATTAAGAGGACCATAACGGCTCCTTTTTTTTTTTTTTGGTTAATTTCTCCCTAATTATTTGGATTCGGAAAGTGATGTAATGTCACACTTATGAAAAACCTTTAAGAAGCCATGTATTGAATGAAAGCCACATGATAGAGAGATTAGAATCTCCCCAGTGATTTTACCATCTTCATGCCCCGTTACATTTTTAACTGTTGACTTCACATGTAATTTAATTTTTCAGCCACCACCTCAGATTTACGACGCCCAATTGGAAGAAAGAGAGCATGCAATTGAAGAGTGGAAAGGTAAAGACAGCTGCTTTTGCCCCTCGCTCGCTCACGGCACGTCGCCTGTCAGCGGGAGCCTTTCTAGGGGAAAGGGCTAGAGGCCCTGCAGCCCCTCTTAGCCCCTGTCTTCCCACTCCCTAGATAACAGAATTAGAGAGGAGCAGGTATGAACCGCATACTGTTTGCTTCTGAAGATTTTAAGATTCACCAAACAGCCTACAGCAAACAGCCCGTAACCAGAAGGTCGAAGAACAATTCTCCATTAAAAAGCAGAATCAGTAGGAATTGAGAGCCTCAGTGAGTGCAGGTCAAAGGTGGCAACGTGCTCTGCCCAAGCAGATTACATCTGCTCTCCCCGGGGCCCCGAAGAGCCGGGACCTGTGTGAACATGCGCTCGGCAGGACGATGCACGCAGCCACGCTCCGCGGCCAAGGAGATGCTCGCAGCGTTCTCATCTTGGTTCACGAACGCCGAAATTGTAGGAACCCCTAATGCTTCCTTAGTAGGTCGTTAGCTTTACTTACACGTCAGAACCAAGGAAACTAAGGTTGAAGCCAAGAAATGACTGAGGAATTTGGATTAATTTCTGGCCAGTCTGGAGGGGCTTCTTACCCACAGATGGATACCGGCTCCATTTGGAGAATCCCGAGTAATGACAGAAACACGTGCAAACAGTGCAGAAGTGTCTAGTACTTTAAAATGCTCCACGAGAGCCACTTTGCTGGTCCCCTGCCCCTTGTACAACCCCCTTGTGGGTTTAGAACTGCCTGGGGTTTCGGCCGCCCTCACAGTTGGGTTAAGAAGAGTAATGGATCAAAAACATGGATGTTTTGGTCTAGGTAGATGGTATTATTGAATTAACCATATATCACAGTTAAAAATAAGGCATCACAGTGCCCTTGGAGTGGTCCCGATTGATTAGGAAGCAGGGTTCAGAGATGCAGAGAAACTGATGAAGCCTCTTACCTTGCGTTTCTTTTTGAAGAGCTGATATACAAAGAAGTGCTGGACTGGGAAGAGAGAAGCAAGAACGGTGTGGTCAAAGATCAGCCTTCAGGTTAGTGATTGCTTTAATAGCTTCGTTACAATTTCCTTTTCCCCGTCCAACTTTCCTAAATGGCAGAAGTGCCTGAAGTACCACCTCGACGGGCACTGGGTCCGAAAGCTCGTGCTGTGAGATGGGCTCCCTGTCTGGGGCGTCATGCTGGCGGCAGCCAGCAGGTTCCTGGTGCGCCGGGCACTAAACTAACTGCGTCCGAGCCGTCCTTGTCCCGTGCCTGCCTCTGCTCCCGCCAGCCCCGCGTGCAGATGACGGAGCCGAGTTTAAAATGTTGCCAAGGTGCGTGACCCTCTCTGGACTGGCCCCACCCGGTTACAGAGGAAAATCCGTGCAAATCTAAGTACAATGGAATTTGGTTTCCTTTTGAGAAAGCTGTTCATACAATTCTCCCACATTTGTACTTGGTCTGCCTGGTGGTCGGTTCCCCGGGTGACTGTTGGAGACATAACATGTGTCGTGTTCACTCAGATCCGTAGGATCCCACCTGCTTCCTGCGTGAAATCCTTCCAAGGTATATTTATTGGCTCACCTCGTATCCCCCCAGAAGCCCATGCACATGCACACGGAGGTGCAGACGGCACTGCATACTTTCTCTTGAATTTTATATTCAGCGTGACGTATGTGTCAAGCATCTAGAGATTATGTAACTTCAGCACAGATTTAGGTGCCCATGGTTAACGAGGCACATGTTTAAGCCTGCAAGTACTGGCCTCTGGGAGCTCAGATGTTTTATTTTTGCTCAAGCCAGACTAAAATACGGACCGTAGGAAACAGGGTAGTTTCGTGTACCTTAAAAAACCAAAATGTTAGTTTTCAGGATGTATAAAACAAAAATAAAATGAACAAGAGGCCACTAAACTTTTTCCTTTCTGTTTGTGTATATACAGTCTTTATTTTAGCAGGGTTTTTTAAATTTAAATTCAGTTAGCCCACATATAGTACATACTTAGTTTCAGATGTAGCATTCAGTGATTCATCAGTTGCGTGTAACACCCAGGGCCCATCACATCACGTGCCCTTGTTAATGCCCATCACCCGGTTACCCCATCCCCCCATCCTCCAACCCCTCCAGCAACCCTCAGTTTATTTCCTGCGATTAAGAGTCTCTCATGGTTTGTCTCCCTCTCTGATTGTTTTCCATTCCGTTTTTATTACAAAAGAATTCTTCAAAGGTTGCTGTTTTTTTCCCTCGGACCAAGTGTTGATGATTATAGCTGAAATGTCTGATGACCCTTGAACCCTATTTGGGCTTCAGCCTTTTGTGACACCGATAGTTGTAGGATAAATTCAGCAATTTTCTACGAATATCTTTTTTAAAGAGGCAGGTATTTTTCAACATGATTATACGCATGCACAGATACGATGTTTAGCCACTGGGAAGAAAAGGAGAATGTTGTAGGGAAAGACCAGGAATGTTTGGGACCCTGGGCCCAGAGAAAGACTCCAGGAAAAGGTGGGCACGGGCAGCCGACTCACTGCTTGTTCATGCTGGTAGTGAGACCAGGGAGCCACAGAAGCCCGGGGCTGGGAGACGGCCCCAGGTCTCAGTGCCCGCACCCGCGGCAATGTCGTGCCTCAGATTTTATTCTGTTTGGTTTTCTTAGCACAGATGCAGCGGTAAGCAGCAACGCCACTCCTTCCCGGTCGTCATCCATCAACGACATCTCATCCATGTCCACCGAGCAGACGCTGGCCTCAGACACAGACAGCAGCCTCGATGCCTCGACGGGACCCCTCGAAGGTTGCCGATGATAAGTCATGAGCCGCAAGCTCGCCAGCAGTGAAGGAACTCCCGCTTCCATAGGCCTGAAAGGCTTGGGGGGTTGATGGAACCAAATAGAAAAAAACTCCATGTTCTGCATGTAAGGAACACGATGCCTTGCCCTGCTCAGTTCCAATAGGATTGCCTGCCTAGATTATACAATGAAGCAGACTATGTCTGAAGAACACAAGTGCAAGCCACACTCGTAGAGATTTTGTGCAAGGTCATTTCAGGTGAGCAATTAGAATAGATGATTTTTTTTTAAAGTTGTACGGTAATAGTAGTGACAATTTCTCATCCTCAGTAACTGTTGGGACATATATGCATGTGACCACGTGTGCTTGCTCAGGCTTGCCATCTAGCACTTTGGAAATCAGTATTTAAATGCCAAATAATCTTCCAGGTAGTGCTGCTTCCAGAATTATCTCTTAATCCTCTTAAGTAATTTGGTGTCTGTCCAGGAAAAATACATTTATGTGTATTAATTGGCCACCATCATATTATCGTATCTTACCTTCTTTTATGGTATGATTTATTCTATCTTTTGTATTTCAGAAGGAATATAATTAAATCTATTTAATAAATAAAAAAATACAACTTTTCTTAAATTTGTCATGTTTTGGGCTGAGGATTATCACTGCTAAAACCAAGAGACCTATATGGACACTTTGTTTCCTCTAAATTGTCTTAGTCTGGGATGACTGTACATTCAGCTTTATTGCATGATAAAATTTTAAGTTTTGTGCTGCTTAAGACGTATATGCCTTTACAGTCCTAATCTGCCCTCGCTCCTTTCTCCTGGTCTTCTGGACTCATTAATTTAAAATGCCACCTAAAACTTCACCTTCTTTATAAGGCACCTAACACTCCACATCAATAACACAATGGCAGATTCTCAAATCCATTAGAGGCGAGAGTAGAATTTGACAAAAACGGTCACTGAAGACAACGGCAGTGACTTCTTCCAAGTGCTTGCTTCCCCCGAGACTGGTCAGGGTCGTTCCCGGGGGAGGCACCATCTCCCAGGGCAGCGTTTCCGGTTTCCAACCTAACGTTCTTCCTCGATTTTCTTTCTTTGCTGAAAGAAACCCCATAAACCGCCTCCCTCCTCCCCCCACCCCTCCACTTGGGTCTGTTGTAGGAAGCAAGGCGATTCAGGACACCTCTGTGATGGTGGTGTTTCCCAGTTCATGGAGCATTTCTTTTTCCTAAGGGAAACCCATGAATTTTCTGGGAAACCTCCTCACAGGGTTATGGAGGAAGCACCCTCAAGAGTAGTGATTAACTATTGACTATTTTCTGATCTAAAACTGCTCACCTGAAATTGATGCTTTCAGACTTTCTGATGTGGAAATCATTCAGAGTTCCCGAAGTTACTGAGTATTGAAGTGTCACTACAGAAATGGGGTTACGATGGTCACATTTTGGCTCCCTGTGCTCGTAATGCTTATCCCTTGAGCTTATTCTGTTACAAATTCCTATCTTGTGTTTAACTGTTTGGGAAGCTACTGGGTCAACATTCTATAGAATGTGTTCTGAGGAGGAACTTTGACAAGAAAGTTTATTATAAATATTATCTAAAATATATGATTCTCTCTGCACCAGTTGTATCGTTGGTTGGTCTTATCACTGGAAACTGGAACCCTTGATGAACAAAATTAGTATTGAAGTACTAGTTTTATATTGTGAGGTTTAGACGCATTCAAGTACAAGAGGAAATGCTGACTTGGATTGAAGCAGAAACACCTATGATATGGCTTAGGATGGTTTTGGTTTTGGAGGCCTGATGGTACAGTGAAGAAAGTTACCATTATACATATATAAACATCTTAAAACGGCCTTCTCTCTAATATACATTCTTTAACAAGACTTCACTAAATCTATCTTTAAAAAGAAAAAGGAGAGTTTTAAAAATGCATCATCTGCCCTAGGCTTCTGTGAACACGGCACGGGGATGCTGAGGGCACATGAAGCTCCTGCTTGTGAGGTGCCCTTTGTGAGTGGAGCCGGGTGCCACCCACAGTCTGGGTTCTGGTCAGTTCTGCCTCCGTGCATTCACGGGGGCAGCCTGTGTTGGTGTGGGTGGGCTTCCTGCCATGCCCACCTTCCACCGGGGAGCAGCGAGCACACCTAGGACAGGCCGCGGGGCTGCAGACAGCAGAACTCTGTAGAAATACCTCACCCCACGTCAGGGTCCTCCCCCTGAGCCGAGACGTGCCGAGGTCCTGGTGCAGTGTAGACAGTTTCAAACTGCTCTCGATGGCTGAATGCTGACGTTGGAAAAAGAACTAAAACGTGCTCAACTTTTTCATCTTTTCTATTTTATTTTTGTAATTTATACTGTACACAACCCTGGAAGTAACTATTTTGGACACATATTTTTCTAAACCAGGTAATTTGTCATTAGCCTGGAATTTGGACTAGGTTTATTTTATCTGTTGGCTTCGTTTTCAGTCAAAAAGGAAATAACTGCCTCCCCCAGGTTGGGTCTTGACCTCAAGTGCAGGTTTTGGAGAGCAGATAGGGTCTCTCGGAGCAGGAGAACATTGTGGAAACACAGACTGCTCAGTATTGATCAGTCACGGTCGTGGAAACGGCAGCAGGGCTCTGTTCTCCTCTCTGGGACGCAAAACCCAGAGCCTCCGTGCTGGAAGGAGAAAAACCTTGGCAGGGCCCCCTGCTGACACCCAGAGCCCCTGGTTGAACCGCTGGATGGGATCCCGCTTGAATCCAGATCTGATGCCCTGTATGTAAGTCATGGTAACGATGTAGGAGTTCGTCCGGTTGATTTCTAACGTCCTCCTCTGGTGTTTCATGCTGGTAGCAAATACAGGTGTGACCTTCAGATGGCAGATCTCAAAAGTAACATTGCCTAATGTTTTATAATAAAATATATTATGTGTGTTTTGATTGGTGAAAATAATACAGATACATTTTAAAAGAGAAGTGTATAGCATGTCCAGTTCTTTTGTGTTTTTAAGTGACGCTTGGCTATATTTCCACTTCACCATCTCTGATTACAGATTTAACATGAACACAGGTTGATGCTGGAGTGTCGTCATTTCCATCAGTATTAGCAAATGTTTTTAATTGACAGGCAAAACATTTCTTTTACGTCTCTGACTGAAGATGTTCTGCAAATTTCTGATTCTCAGTTTTCAAAAATACGCAAGTATACAAGATGGAATATTCCGAGTATTGGTGTAAGAATTTTTCTCACAAGGCGTGGCCGATGGGTCTTTACTTGTCTTACGTAGAATAGTTAACAGTGTGGTTTTGTGGATGGGATGAGCCACTTTGATTTCACTTCTGGGTTCAAGGCACTTTAAGATGTTCACTACTCAGGGGTGCCTGGGTGGCTCAGTCGGTCGGGCATCCGACTCTTGATCTCAGCTCAGGCTTGATCTCAGTGCAGGCCCCACATTAGGCTCCACACTGGGTGTGGAGCCGACTTAAAAAAGATGTTCACTATGTAAAACCACAGGACTGGAAGGGCCCTCGATGGCTCACTTTCTCTTCTCTGCTTCAAAGGGCTAGAATCATTCCAGATAGATGAGTATCAGTCTGATTTGTAAAGTTCTCTAGAGAAGGAAAACCTTCCTCTTGATACAGGTCTGGGTCCCATTTCTCTATCTTACCCCCTTCAGACATTCAAAGCAGACAGTACTAAAATGCTTTTTATTTATTGACTGAAATGGTGAGTGTAGTGGGGTGGGGGCTTTTTGGTGGGGGGAAGGGTAATCTTTCAAAATAACCTAATATTGTCCTGACGCTCCTATGGTATGAATTTAAGCGTAAGGTTCCCTTTGGCAATAAGGCAGTTATTCAGTATTCTGTTTTTAGATCAGGAAAACTGGTAGCAAACTGAGAGTGGTCAGTCATGTCTCGTTGAGACCATCTGTGACCAGGATTTAGGAAGGATGTGCCTGTCACGACCATGGGGAACTTCGCGTTCACTGCGTTCTCAAGGCCCTGGGCCACACACTCCTTCACGGTTTGAAAGAGTCAGGCTTTGGGGACCTGGGATCTTTGTGAGGAAGGGTGTTTGCTACCCCCCGTCTCTGCTGGTGCTTTAAAGTTGGAAGGGAAGTTCGGAGTGAGTTCTCAAACACAGCCCGAGGCCTGCACCACACCGAGGCCGAGGACGGACAGAGCATGGGCTTGCGTCCTCACACTGCCTTGTGTTCCTGCAGGTGCACGACTCACTCTTCTTTAGTCATAAGCCCCGTTGGGGGGGTCTGAGGCAAAGAGTGCCCCTCCCCAAAGAAAAATGCCGTGAACACAAAATTCTGCCACACTTTTCGAGGAGTCCTGGCCCCTGGCGGATACCGTGTGAAGAGCCCCATTCTAGAAGCAGCTTCTAGATGCTTCATGTGTGCAGAGGGAGGCCAAGCCTGCAGAAGAAGACTCTTCTGGGACACTTGCACGCGGATGTTGGGGACGTCTTCACTCCAAGCCCCAGCACTAGTCAGTAGTCTCAAAAAGAAAAACAGAGGGGTTCAAGTCCAGTGAAAGGGATCATTTCTGTTATTCCTTCCATGTGGAATTTAAGTGCAAGACTGAAAGGAGCTTATAATACAGACTTCATGGAGACACGGACAAAATTAAATCCATCTCTTCATTTTTCAAGAAGTAGTTCATGCTGCGCTTTGAAATAAACTCTGAACTTGCCCCCGAAATCCCTGTTTTAAATTGTCGGTTCCCCAGTAATATTTTCTGCCCTTCTCCCAAAACTTCCCTGACTTTCTTAGAATTTCTATAAGCATGCTTTCACCTTAATTGCATTTACTCACTTCGCTTTCATAAAGCCTAACAATGGATGGAGAGACCCTCGTTCAGGGCGGGAATGCACCTGAGGAGGCCGCCCAGCCTCTGCTCAGATGGCTCTAATGAAGGAAAGGCCCTCCCCGCAGAGTTCTGTGTAGTTTTGACCATCAGGAAGTTCTTCCTTTCACAGAACAGAAACCCGTTCCCACAACTCCCATGCCTGGGGCCCTAGGCCTTTCCCTTGGGTGAAATAGAGGGAGTCTGATCCATCTTGTGACACAAGCTTTCCTCTTTTGGTTGAAAAGGTAAGCTGCAAGTCTTCCTTTCTCTACCTTCAACTCAAAGTTCCTCCAACCCTCTCCCACCTGACAAAGCCCCCAGAGCCTCACCGTCTTGGTGCACCCTATAAATGCGGGCCTGGAAGTGAACGAATATTCCAGATACAGCCTGAGCAGCGTGCCCAGCAAGCAAGGCCTCCCCAGCCAATTAACACCATCGCGGGGGCCTGAGCTTTCCCAGCCATGTCACCCCCGATGCCTGCAGTCCATCGGAGCCCCTGGATTCTGTGCCGTGGCACTTAATCCTGACTCTATCAGCCTTCACGGGCGTCCCGTCTGCCAGCTTGTGACATCTGTCAGTTTTAGAAGCACACACGTGCCTTCTGAAGATTCATGCAAGTGGTGATCAACAGTCTTGAGTGGCAGAGCCTCAGGACAGACCCCGGCAGTCACAGAGAGGGGCCCATGTGGCCGGCGCATCGTCCCCTCCTCGGCGGGGGTCCCTCCGCTCAACAGCAACGTCGTTCAGCCAGTGCGGCGTGTTATCTCGCCAAGGAGGTCAGGAAGACGCATCCTAATGGATGCCACAGAGCAATCCGAGAGCACTTTGGCAGCATCCTCTGAGCTACTTCCTCGTCACATCTCAGGAAGAGAAAGGAGTCTGTCACCACGCACTGGTGCTCGGAGTTCATGCTTCGGTTTTCTCTCGGGAGGAGCAGGTGGGGAGTGCGCCGACTTCCCCTTCTAGATCTACATTCTTGATAGCCTGTGGCCACTTAGAAGACACGGCCAGTTGTTGTCCATGTCCGCAGGTCAGGGAGTGGGTAGGGGAGCAGGGTGGAAACGCGCGATGGCCTTACTCTGTTTCCGTCTCCGGCCCCGACCCCAAGCCGCTCTCCTGTGGCCCGTCCACAACAGAGCCTGGCTCGAGCCACGTACAACCTCAAAGGTTTATCGTCTTGAGTAGGCCTGCCTTTTCGGAGAAGCTTCCTTTGTTTTCAAGGAATAACCATCATGCTGCCCTCAAGAAGCTGTAAGAAATAAATATTGGATCAGCAATACTCACCTGTCTGTATTTATTCTCACGTCCCCTCAAAGGTGGCCCCTCACTGGACGTGCTGGAAGGCCCACGCGGCCTGCCTCCCTGCCCTGCCGGACCGTCGCTCCCACAGGAGCTCGATGCTGTGTGGCCTCTCTCCGTCCCTCTGTTCGGTTCCCCGCCTCCGCTCATAACCCAACATCACCCTCCAATCGCTCCCCTTTGAAACAGAAATCAAGAGCAGTCTATACTTACTTTCTCCACCTCCTCGCCTCCCATCTGCTCCCTATTTTTTTTTTTAAGATTTTATTTATTTGAGAGAGAGAGAGAATGAGAGAGAGCACATGAGAGG